TAACTTAACTACATCTGCAGATACTCCAAATAAGATCACCTTCGCCGATTCCTGTGACTTGGACATGGACGTATCTTCTGGGGCCACCCTTCAACCCACTACAGATCTCTAAGTAAAAAGTGACTAAGGCTCTTTGAGTACAACTTCAAAGGGAAGGTGGTCTTAGAACACTTTATGAGTATTATCTTATTTAACCCCCTAGCACATGGGGAGGTGGGCAGCCCTCTCCCCCCTGGCAGGGACAGCTAGAAGATGGGGACAAGGCCAAATTTGATTTGGAACAATTGCCCTGGTTGGGGTACAGAGAATGGGTGGGAGGAGGTGAGAGGATGGGCAAGTTCAAGGGCAATTCCTGAGATGGGGGAGGTGGGGAGGAGCAGCTCCTGGGACGCTCCATGGTTTTTATCTGCAGTGAGGGATTGGCAGTACCCTTCTCGAAGTGCCTCCAGCTTCACCCCCTCCCCAGAGGTCTCTTAGCCTCACTCTCCTGGGTAGTGGTGATTTTCCACCCGTGAGTTGGACCATGGAGGCGGAAACCCCATCTCCTCCTGACCTGAGCCTTTCCCCCCCTCTTGTTTTTCTGGAATATTTTTCTGCTCCTTCTTATACCCAGCAGGCTGGGAGAATCTTGTTAGCACATATTTCTATGGCGCCTCTTCCCAGAGGGACCTTGGTTTGAGTGCCTTTGGAAACCTGCCATTTCCGCGGAGCCTGCACGATTACTCAGCATTCACATGTTGCTTCACGCTCCTTGGGCGTGTGTCTTCCTCCCCCCAAATCTGACCTGTCTCGGCTGCAGCTTCCCCATCTGGGCAGCACAGAATGATGTTTCGATCCCCAGCTCTGACCCCCAGGGAGCGGCGGTTCTCCAGGCTTTCCTGGCTATCGACTGGCGTGGAGCCTGAGAGCGCGGTGTCCCTCCCTGTGGTTGGAGAAGTGGTCACTGACCAGAGGGAGCCTCCTGAAGATTCCTGCTCCAGGTGGACGGGTCAGAGCGCCTGGAACCCACCCTCCCTCCGCTTCTTCCTCGCTGTGGGATCAGGAGCGAGTTACCTCATGGCTCTGAGCCCTAGATTTTCTTCTCACCTGTAAAATGGGGACAGAGTAGAGGACACAGACCCAGAAACCCACCCAGCCCAGGCAGCCCAGAGCCTGGATTCGGGCTTCCCTGCGCCCGAGGGCAGCGAGCCTGGCACAGGCCCGTGGGGACGGGTGCAGCAGCTGGAGACGGGGGAGGAGGCGGGGAGGCCGGAGGTGGACCGGCAGGCACAGGGCAAGTGCTGTGAGTGTGTGCACAGTCACTCACACACATCACACATGCTCACACATTGACACGTGCTTACTCACATGTCAGACACATTGCATACATGCTCAAGCACACACAGATCACACTCACATGCACTCTCACATATTTGCAAATTTACTGATACAGAACATATCCACAACACCCTCCCAAACTCCCATATACTCTCACGCACGCACACCCCTCCTCATACTTACATGCATATATACACACACACGCATACGCACACACGCACACACATGCACATACACAGTGGCCCAACCAGTGACAGGCAGAGTCGGGAAGACCCGAACCTGGAGGCAGAAGCACCGAGAGACACAGAGATGGACAAAGAGAGTCCAAGGCATGGACGCCAGGCCGACGACATCAGAGAGGAAAATGGCAGTGGAACCCCGAGGGGTCCCGGGATGGAACCACGGAGAGGGCCCCAGGGAAACAGCCCCCCAGCCCAGCCCTGTGCGGTGTGTCGGGAATGGCCAGGGCTGCTCGGGGGTCCAAGGATGAGGGAGCGTTAACTCCCACTTGACTGGTCCTGTGGGGATCTGCCAACCATTTGGGTTCCCACCAATCCCCCCTTCCTCCCAGTGGCTCTGTCTAGGGGTTCGTGCTATGTCATCACACCACAGGGACACTGAGGTTTGGGGACGCTGGACCTTTTGTCCGAGGCCACATGGAGCTTCAAGGGCAGCGCAAAGGCTGAGTTTTCCACTAACGAGGGCTGGCTCTTCCTCCTGTGCCACATGCTCTCTCCTCCAGGTGACACAGTCCCCACCTCTGGCCCTGTATGAGACACTTGTGTGTCACGTGCCACATCCTCTCAGGCCACCCGTCTACTCTCTCACTGCTGCAGGTGCACCCTGGGGGCAGCCTGCCTCTCTGCCCAGGCACTCTCGGTCCCCCTTTCCTGAGGCTTGCACACACCTGGGAGTACGTAGGAGCGGACACCCCAACTGGTGGCCCTTCACCAATGTGGGGAGGGAAGCAGGTGGGTGAATACTCCCCTCTTCTAACTCCAGTGGAGAACTTCGAGGTGACTTCTCCGGGGCTCCTCGGAGGGTCCCAGTGGCGTGGCTCCCCACTGCCCACCTCAGTGACTGCTCCCTCTCACACCTTGTATTTCACGGCTTTCCTGCCTTCTTTCCCCAGGAATCACTTGCCTAATTAAAGCCACTTGCAGGGGCCCCTGTCTCAGGCTGTTTTCAGCTGTAGCCCCAAACTGGGCTCTCCCCAGGGCCAGCAGCAGGGGAGCCAGTGACCCTCGCTCCTCCTACTTCTCTTCCCCCCGGGACACCAGGGTTCTGCTCCTGTCTATTGTTTGCTTGATTCAGGAGCCCACATTTCCCCAGAGGGCAAATCACTCTTGTTTATCCAATAGCTGCTAATTGTCAGCTATCATCTCTGGGTTCAAACCACACAAACAAAAGATGCTTTCGGCCAAGAGGCATCCTAGCCAAACAGAGCAGGGATAGGATGGGGGTCAGGGTGCCCTCCAAGCTTCTACCCAAGCTGTGATTCTGTGTCCACTGTAGGACACATGTCACAGGCAAGTCACCGGAGTAGCCACTCACGGTCTTGGGTTGAGTGGGTGCATGCCCGTGTGTGTTTTAGAGTAGATTTACTGTTTATTTTTTTCTTTTTAGAGGGGAAGAGAGGGAGAGAAGCAGCAATGTGAGAGACAAACTTTGATCGGTTTCCTCTCTCATGCACCCTGATGAAGGACCGAACCTGCAACCCAGGCTTATGCCCTGACTAGGAATCCAACTGGCGACCTCTTGCTTTGCAGTATGATGCTGAACCAACTGAGCCACACTGGCCAGAGCATATTTATTGTATCTTTTGATTGCAAAAGCAATGCCTGCCAACTGTCCAGATTATCACGATCAAAAATGTATAGCTTTTCTCTTGGTTGCGGTTATTTTTCATTTTCCCTGGCCCGGGACATTTCGACAGCAGCGAGGCCTGGCGTTCCCCTCCGGGACCGCCAGTGCACCTGTGAGGGTCATTTCCTCTCCGGGCAATCGTCCACTCATTCAGTGACTGTTCTGAGTACCCGTCAGGTGCCAGAGATTGGAGAAGCAGCTGTGAGAGGGGACGAGGCTCTCGCCCTGGCTGCCTGTCTCCAATTAGCTGTGTTTTCTCTGATCTCCTCTGTGGGCAGGACCTTGAGCGGCTCCCTTGCTCTGAAGTATTTACTCAGTAGACTCTGGCTCCCAGGAAGGTACAGGGAGGCCTGCAGCTATCCCAGGGGGCTTCCCACCCCCACAGGGAAGGGCTGTGGCTACAGCCCAGAATGCATCGCAGGGCGGGAATGTGCTGTGCTAGAACCTGAGCTGTTGTTGAGTCTTTGTCGGGAGGCTCCAGTTGCCTGATCAGATCCTTCCCTCCAGCCCTGAAAGGCCTCGTTTCAGGTCCCCTCTGGCTGCCCCCTGTGCCCCCAGACAGCTGAGGGTCTGTCTTGTTGGTGGACCTGGGGCCCAGCAGAGCGTCCTGGGGACAGGGACGAGGTGGCTCCTCCAGTCTTCCTGGATGCCTGGCCAGGCGGGTGTGCACGGGCACCCTGAGGGCAGGCCTGATGAGCAGGTGCCCGCCGCCAGGGCAGGAGGCTTGTGGAAGGGCAGGGACTGAAGCAGTGAGGACAGTGGTCAGGGCAGGAGATTGGGGCTCTCACCAGGTATCTGTGTGGAACACTCCTGCACCGTGTGGGGGACAAACGTGGGGGGGGATGGGCGATGGGGGATGGTAGAAAGTCCAGCAGGACACTCACAGAGCCAGGAGCTAAGGGTTGGCATGAGTGCCAGGAAAGGGAGAGGACCTCACAATGTGTCAAAGTGGATACCCCGTGGGCCAAAACAGGCCCAAACAGTATTTATCAGCTCTTTTCCTTTTATTAATACATGTCCTTTTGTTAAACATAAAAATCACACCTCCTTTAACATCACGTACTGATCTTTGAACTGCAGATGAATTAAAACAATGGGAAAGGTGCTGCTTTGTTTAAACGATCCTCCTCCCAGATCTGATGTTCTGTCCCCCACGTTTGAGATGGAAGCCCTGACCAGTCTGGGCTGAGGCTGATGACTGTTCAGAATGAGCATGAGGGACTGACAGAAACAGCTGCCAGACAATCTATTCTCTGAGAATCTGTTCCCGCAGGGATGGGAGCTGCTGCCTGAGGTCCTGCATGGGCCTCATGGGAGCTCCAGGGGGCACCTCCATTCAGAGTCTGGATGGCTGCATTCCTCCCCTCTGGGACCCAGTTCCTCTGCTCTCCCCAGGGAGCCCATCCCCTACTGTCGCTAGCTGTCCTCAGCAAACCCCTACCCCTCTCACAGGCTTTTGTTCCCAAACAGCCCATCTCCTTCCTTTCCCTTTATCTAAATTCCTATAGCCTGTCGTTGGCAAGATGTTCGGTCAAAGCCAAGGAAAGTAATTTATACTAAGGAGTAACAGACTGATAGGCTTAACCATTCCAAGGAGCATTTGAGTTTTTAAGGAGAGTTTGTAATTTCAAACACATATCAAACAGGTGGATGTGCACGGGAGCTCTTCGTGCAGCACGATCTTTTCCAGGTCCACGTGCCCGCAGGAACGTGGCTCGGCTGTGGGCGCGTCTGCGGAAAGTTCAGGCCCCGGGCTCCAGCGTTTGGGCGCCAGAGTGGGCGGGGACACAGTCCCGGCACGCCGGGCCATCCCGAAACCTCAGCCCGGGCCTCCGCGCGCCCGGAAGGAAGCTGCTGCGGAGGAGGGGGCTGCGGGGGTGCCCCGAGCGCGCCTCACCTGCAGGAGGGCGCGGCCCGGGCTTTGATTCTCCGAGAGCGGGCCTGCAGGGGAGGGCGCGCATTCTGCCGTCCTTCCTGCCCGCCGCCCGGTGCTGGAGCGCAGGGCCACCGGGCCCCCTCCAACTCTCGCCCCGCGCTCCTTCTCACCCTCTCCTTCCCCGCGCGGTCCCCGGCCTGGAGCCCGGCGCTTCGCCCACACCCCCAAGTCCCGGACGCACTCGCGGAGAGGGCGGTGACTGAGGGGAGGGAGGGGCGCCGCCCGCCTCCAGGGGCCTGGAGCGCGCGTGGCCCCAGAGCCGCCCGCGCCGCGCGGGGACTCACAGAGCAGCGCGCCGCGCCCGGACTCGGCTGGCTCCGCTCGGCGCGCGGGCGGCGGAGGATGCTGGCGGGCTTCCTCGGCCTCAGCCCGCGCTCCCGCCCGGGAGGGCCCCGCGTGCGCCCCTAGCAGCGCCGCCGCCGCGACCGCAGCGGGGACAAGAGGAAGGGGTCCGTTCGGGCCGTGCACGCCGGCTCCGGCCCGCGAGCCTCAACCCTAGAGGCGGGCGACCCGAATTCTCCAGTTCCCGTAGCCGCCGCCTCTTCCTCCCTCCTGCGGCCAGGAGCCTGTGGATGCCAAGAGGCAGCCCCGAGCCTCTCCCGGCGGGATTCAGGGCCTGACCGCGGGGCAGTCGCGCTGTGGCCGGGGGCCGTGGGGCTGGCGGGGCGGCGCGGCTGCGCGGGGAGCAGCCCCCGGGCGCGCTGAGCCTTCTGCCCCGCCCGCTGCACGCGTGACCCGGCCCCGCAGCCTCGCGGGGACCGGCCCGGGCCACGCGGCTCCCGAGTTCCCGCACAGGTAAGCTAAGCGCAGGGGTAGGGCCGGCCTTCCGGAGGGCACGCAGTGCCGGGAGGGGGGAGTCGGAGCCGCCGAGGGCTGGGTGGGAAAAGGAAGTAAACACGGGGAAGATTCAGGAATCCCCAGGATGGCGCGGGCGCGGCTCCTTTCTGGCACGTTGCACCGAAGGCGTGGGCCTGGAGGGGACTTAAGGGACGAAGTCAGGGGCTGAGAGAAGAGACCACAGGTGCGAGGGATGGAGAGGTGGCCAGGCCCCTGGGCAAGCCAGAGGCAGGCAACCAAGCGTTGCAGTGGACCACGGGCGTGTGCCGGGTGGGGCGGCGGTGGCTGGAGCGGGCCTGGCCCCCAGCCCCTCGCAGCCGCAGTTCTTTCGCGAGCGGTGGGCGGGCCACGGAGAAAGCACAGGTGGGCAGGAAGAGCTGCTGCCACTTAGAGGTGTCTTTTAAGTTCCAGATGATCGGCGCTTCCTGTGCCCTGGAGACCCGTCCTGCGTCCCCGCCCGCGGTGGCCGGCACTGAGCCTTCCCCAGGTCTCGGAGAGCCCTGCTAGGTGGCGGCCCATCCCGGAGCCCTTCTTCTGTCCCCGGTGCCCTTCTCCAGGGCCAGGAGCAGCAGACGCCAGCAAGGATGCCGAGGAATCAGGGCTTCTCCGACCCGGAGTACTCGGCCGAGTACTCCGCGGAGTACTCGGTCAGCCTGCCCTCCGACCCGGGCCGCGGGATGGGCCGGAGCCACGAAATCTCCGTGCGGAACTCGGGGCCCTGCCTCTGCCTGCCTCGCTTCATGCGGCTGACCTTCGTGCCCGAGTCCTTGGAGAACCTGTACCAGACCTACTTCAAGAGGCAGCGCCACGAGACCCTGCTGGTGCTGGTGGTCTTCGCAGCCCTCTTCGACTGCTACGTGGTGGTCGTGTGCGCCGCGGTCTTCTCCGCGGACAAGCTGGCTCCCCTCGTGGTGGCCGGGGTAGGGCTGGCGTTGGACATCGTCCTCTTCGTGCTCTGCAAAAAGGGGCTGCTGCCCGACCGGGTCACCCGGAAGGTGGTGCCCTACCTGCTGTGGCTGCTGATCACAGCGCAGGTCTTCTCCTATCTGGGCCTGAACTTCACCGGCGCCCACGCGGCCAGCGACACGGCGGGCTGGCAGGCCTTCTTCGTCTTCTCCTTCTTCATCACGCTGCCCCTCAGCCTCAGCCCCATCGTGGCCATCTCTGTGGCCTCCTGTGTTATGCACACCCTGGTTCTGGGCGTCACTGTGGCCCAGCAGCAGCAGGACGAGCTGAAGGGGATGCAACTGCTGAGGGAGGTGAGTCCCACCTTCCCCTCCGAGTCACCTTGGGGCTTCCCCTCCACCTCACAGCTTGCAGCCCAAGTGGTGCCTGTTTTGAAGGTGGGGGTGGCATTGGTGTTTTATGGTTTTGTGTTGGATTTTTTTGCCCTTGGTTCATAATGTGTCCTGGGGGCTTCCGGGCTCTCAGCTGCCTGTGCCAGAAGGACCACCCTTCTCTCAACCCCTGGTCTTGCACCAGGGTTCACCCCTAGGGACCGAAGGATGTCAGGACATGGAGCCTCAGAGCCACCCTGTCACCTGTGCCCAGCTCCAGTGGGTGGCAGGAAGGCCCGCCTCGGCCTGGTCTGGAGGCAGCATTGTCCTGGCCATTCCTTCTCGTCGACCTCTGCCAGGAAGACCTCTTGTGGGGAAAGAGGCTCCCTTGACGTCTGGTCTCTAGCCTGTCACTGGCTAGCTTTGGCAAGTGACGGACTTGGGGGGACTCTGTGCCCCTTGGAGTGTCTGCCTGGGTAGGGTGGTGGCTGTAAGATGTGCCCTGGGACACATGGCAGGCGGCTAGAGAGGGAAGGTGGGATTGTCACAGATCCCCGTCTGCAGCTGAGAGCATGGGGCCAATTGGATTATGGGGGCAGTTAGATTATGGGGGGAGTGGTCCCCCCACAGAAGTGGCATGGGGACAGTGGTGCCGGCCACAGTAATGGAGGGGCTGCTAGTTCTGGGGATGCCTGCTGCTAGAACAGTGTGGTCTTTTAGCCTCAGCTTGCTCTGAGAGCCAGCCTTGTGCTCGGCCGGGTTCCAAGACCCCGTCTCGGTGGGAGGGGCTGTGGGGACCTGCGGAGGTGACCGTCTGCCCTCTGAGTTTGTTACCTGGTGACCCATCTGGGGATTCCACCGGGCTTGGGGTCACAAATTCTACAGCTGTGTGTCCTGCCTGCTGCCTCCTTTCAAACAGATGGAGAGCGACTGCCCAGGGCCACACGGCCAGTTACGGCCGTTGTCTGCCTGGAGGGGCCGGGTCTGGCTTCCATTTTCCAGTTCTGCTTCCAGTGCTCTTCCCCCGACGTCACACTGCTGCCTCGGTCTAGGCCAAAGCCATTAGTGTTGTCTCCTGGGGTCGAGGGCTGAGTCTCCAGGTGCCCGGTGGTGCCGTTGGTGGTTGATGCAAGAACCCAGTGGGGCCGTCCCATCGCCTCCTAGTTGCTTAGAGGAAAACACAAGTTTTCCTCGGGTTCGTTAACTTTTCCCTGGTTTTGGACCAAGGTTCTTCCTGCTTTCCCGTTGTGGCTGGAAGTTTTGTGCCTTTCGATTCTGCAGGCGCGTGTGAGTTTGTGCAGGCACGCCAACAGGTCCCTTTGGTTTTCTCCCCATGACACATTCATGTGAGGTGACAACCTACCATTACTGTCGTGACTTCTGGGTTAGTGGCCTTCAGCTCATGCCGGTGCCCGTGGCGGCCTCTGCTGGAAGCTGTCTGGGGAAGAAGGGCGAGAGTCATCGCTGTGATTCTGAGCGTCGAACTCTGAACCATTGTTGCCTCGTTACCTGGCGACCCATCTGGGGGCTCCACCAGGCTTGGCGTTGACGGCCCTTTCCTCTGTGCCCGGCCCCGGGCCCCGTGCATTTCCCGTGTGCTTTGCAGTCCATTAAGGGAGCGAAACAGACACTCTTCCCCGGCGGAGCCCAGAGTCTGGGTCCATGGTTGCTGGTGTTTCTGGGTGTTCCTGAGAAACAAAAACCCAAACAGATGAGAAAACAGAAAAAGATAGAAAAATAAGTAAATCAAGAATAACCACGTTCGCATCCCAGGAGAGCACGGCCTTGGCATGGAAGCTGTGCCCTGGGCGTGGCTTTGGGCAGCGGGGGAGGGGACTCGCAGGGTCTGTTGGGGAGCCTGAGCTATAGGATTGCAGGAGGTCCCAGCCGTCAGTGGGCTGTGTTCCAGAAGTTTCTGAGTCACTTGTTTGGGACCTAATGTAACTTTTCAAAAGGTGCCTGGGTTCCCAGGCTCACCCACCAAAGCCTTCCTTACGTCACAGTGTCCCTGCGTTTGGTCGCTATGGGCACAGGAGAAACTAAGTCCCGTGTGGCCCTGCGTTGCTCTGGGGAGAAAACACCTGGATGCTTTTCCTCCAGCTGTGGAACGAAGCACCATTCACCTGCTGGCTGCTCCTCTGGGCACATGTTACCCACTGGGGGCACCATCAGGGATCGGAGGGGGAAGCTGGAGGACAGCGACAGGAGAACAAGGTGGCCAGACTGCCCCCTCCGCAATCAGGGTGACACCAGGAACTTTCTCCAGGCGCCCACATCTCCCTTCTTTCCATTCAGCCGCCTAAAAATGTCCCTTTCTTTCTCTTCTTCCATCACCCGTTGGGTCCAGCCAGAGACTCCCTCCTGGGTCAGTGGAGGAACCGAGTTTCACAGTAGAAACAGACACCAGATTTCAGGGGGTTGTGCGTCCTTTTGCTGCCATGGTCACGGGCAGCACTGAAGAAGCATTTCCAACACCCAAGTTATCTTCCTGTGCCCCTTATATCCCCCCAACCCATACTCTGCTCCATGCGGGAGAGACAGAGGGGACCCAGGGACCTCAGGCCAGCCTGCCCTGGGCCCTCCTCATGGGAGGTGGACAGGTGGGCTCCGACAGACAGAGCCTCGCCATCAGGGGATGTGGGTGGGTTGTGGGACTGAGGGGTTGCTGGGGCTGCGTTTATTAATGAGTAAATGTCGCTGAGCACCAGGTGTGGGCCTTGCAGCCTGCAGGGCCTGAGTGTGAGGGGGTCGGACGAAGAAATCGGAGGCTGTGGTGAAGGAGAGCCTGGCCTGGGACTGGGGTCCTGGGGGGCTTGAGGGACAGGAGGGGTGAGCTGAAACTGTTGGGGTTGTCCTACCTCCTTCCCCTTGCACGGGTCCTGGCACCACCAGGCCTTTTAGGGCCCACCTTGCCCTTTACTGCCCCGAACTGCCTCTGGGGGAAGGTGATGAAGGGGCAGGAGGTTGAGGGCAGGGCCGGGCAGCAGCTGAAGGGAGAGGATGAAGGGGAAGACACAGCCAAGACGGTGGGAACGTTCCCAAGGCCAGTGGCTGCCCCCTGAGATGCTCACATGTGCTCCTGTACACCGTTAGCTTTTCACAGGGCCGTTGAAGGAATGAGTCTGTGGCAAGTTAGGGGTAAGGAACCCCTGGAAAATATGGCTTTATTTTATAGCAGGAAGGCTGTTGGGGCACCTGAAACAGAGGTTGAGGGTTTTCTCAGGGAGTGTGCACGGAATCAAGAGGGAAGAGGGCTTAGGACCCAACACTAGGGAGCAGCCCGGTGGGGGTGGGGTCTCCACATGGAGACCTGCCCCATCCCTGCCTCTGCTTCCTGCCCCATCCCTGCCTCTGCTTACTGCCAGGGCTCTTGCTTGTCGCAGGTGGCTTGTGACAGGTGGACAGACCATTTGGGAGCAATAGGCGGCCCTGGTCTGACGGCGTTTGCATCGTTGGTTCTCTTGAGTTGTGGAAACTGAAGACAGGTGGAGGCTAGGTGGGGCCGGGGGCCAGGTGTGGGGCTGGTGCTCACGGTTCTGCAGGGTGACCCAGGGTTCGGGGATGTCACTTGGTTAGCTGGTGGGGATAATACAGCGAGAGGCCCTTCACATACTATAAAGCACTATGCAAATGCTAGATATCTATTTCTTTATTGCTCTTAATCTTGACACACCACCTCCGACCTTTGAGCTGTGAATGAATCAGACCAAGTTTGTTTATTATCCTTTTTTTCACCTCTTTTCTTTGTAACCAGCTGGCTCTTTCCCTCATTTTGGAAGCATTATTTTAAAGAAAGTTTTCTTTGTAATGTAGCAGAGACTTTAGAAACAAAAGAAAGATTGTATCACAATTCTGCCGTAACTTTTTTTTTTTTTTGGTGTGTTCCTTTCTAGTCTTTCCTATGGAAATTTTTGCAAAGCTCTGCTTTACCCCTGCTCTTCTTCGCTTTGGATCACGGGTTGTTTATTGTTGTTGCTTTTTACACGTGGTGCCGGGACCGGGAACCAAACCCACACCTCAGGTGTGTGCCCGACCTGGAGTTGAACCTGCAGCCCCTTCGGTTACATGACGACGCTGCAACCAACCGAGCCACACTGGCCTGGGCGACTTTTTTATATTTTCAATTAGTCTTCACCATCACCATTTTTAAGGGCTACATAATGTGATTTTGAGTAAATGTGCTATAATTAACTGCTCCTTTTCTGGAGGACATTTAGTTACTCGTAATTTATCACGTGCATTTACGTATTTATGCACAATACGGGCCCACTGGGTCTCTCCCCTCCCCTGCCGGCCGTTGTTCGCCTGGTGCCTCGTTTTCCCTCTGATTGTTTTCAGCTGTTTCATCCAGCAACCTTCCTCTTTTGGGTCCCTAAGAAATTTGCTTTGATTAGAATGAAAGCTTTTCTTTACTTTTCCCTTTCCTCTCTTCAAGAGCATTTTCTTTGTCGTAAACAAAAATAAAATGACATGTTTCGGAAGCAGTCCCACCCCACCCGTTACCCCCCATTCAAAACCCCAATGCAAGCCGACTGCATTTGACTTTGGCAGGACTTCCATGGCTGCGGTTGGTTGTTCTCATGTTGTTTTAAGACGGGTCCTCCTGAGTGTAACTCAGTGTCAGCAGCGTCAGGCCTGTCCCAGCTTCTGGCTGGGCTGCTCGAGTGCCGCGGGAGGCTGAGGTTTCCACGCGTGGACAGATGGCCTTGGGGGGCTGGCCTGACTCGCAGCTGGCCCTAGAAATGCCCGCCGCTCTGGTGGTCACTGTTGTCGCTGCCGTGATCGGCTCTGATGAGGGAGCTTAGAAAAGCTTGGTCCAACGCCAAGGGGGGGAAGAGCGGTCCATGTCCAGACTGTCGGAAGGTGCCCCGGGTTGGTCGCCTCACAGGTGTCCCTTCCACTTCTTTGCCGGGCCTCCACCGTGTCACTGCCTCATAGGTGTTAGGGGAGTGTCCTTCTCGGGTGGGGTTCCTCATGAGGAC